AAAAAAAAATCCAGCTTGGAATGCGGAATTAGAAAACTAACAAATTTGGCAAGATGCAGATGTAGGATTTTCTTTTTTAACTTTCAGGTGATGACATTTTTTTTTCTCTCTTCCGTTTGATGTCTGAACTGTTCAGCTGGTTAAAGCCTGAATCTTTTGAGGCAATTTCACTAGGCTCATTAAAAACTTTCATCATTTCTCCTTCTGTTTTGAGACCTTTTCTGGTCCCACATAGATCTTTAGTTCCAATAAGATGCAGGAAATATCCCTTTCTTGGTCTCTAGAACCTAGAAGGGGATATTTTTTTAAGACAGAATTTTAAGACAACAAAATACATTTGCTCTGTTTTGTTGTGTACTTCCTTCTCGAATAATCTTCTTTTTTTTTCTATCACCATTTTCTGTTCTCATTCATACAGTTTTTATGCCCTGTCACTTTTATAGTAAAAGTAATTTTTCAGTTAACAGGATACTGTTTGTGTCCTCATGTTTTATTTTTATACATTAGGGGTCTGGGGTATATCTCACTGTATTTGTGTATTATACAAACCGAATCTTAGGATGTTGCTTCAAAAATGTGATGTAATATCTCAAGAACCAATCCTCTACATTCTAAATTGTAACAATGAATGATGTAAAAATAGTGCCTTAGGACTATAATTTTTAAGGATGCCATTGGCATACCTACTTATTAAATACCTGGCTCCATCCAGTGCTACTATCTGCTGCTCACGACGGATCAACCAGCTTTTTGTACCTCAGCTTTCATCTTCAATTCTCAGTTGGCAGGGATGTTTTTTTATGCTTTGCTATGATGATGTTAATGGCTTTGGCTGAATTGGATGTCATTGCTGTGTGATAGTCTTCAGATACATTATGATTGCTGGATGCTAATTTACATATTTATTTAGAGGTTTACCCTTGAAGCCACTTGCATTCAGATCCAGATCCATGGTTTCCTTTATCTTCCCCAATGGTACTGTGGGCAGAATTGATTGAATGAATCCATATTTTGACTTATTTGGACACTTAAAGTCTGAAATTATGTGGACAAGTGTTTTTAAAGATTTAGAGATGATAGTGTTTCTTATCACAGGAGAGATCTTGCAGCTACAGTACAATTCTATCCCTTGTGTATCCTGGCATGTATAAAGTCAACAGCAAGGGAGTAATGAGAAATCCCAGAGTACAATTGACTCTTTGTCATGCATTATTGTGTAGCTTTTCTTTGCTGCTTTGTCTGGCACCCCACAGTGGGGGATTTGCGATGGCCTCTATGTCCCTGAACATACCCTGTAGCGACTGTCACGGGAATTGAAAAGGAAATTAGTGCCATCCGGCTCATAAAGACACAGTGTAGTCTTTATAAGCTGATTGTTATGGAATTGTGTTACTTTGCGTGCACTGTAGGTAGGTTTTTCTCACAAACTCGCACAATAAGGAACAACAAGACTCGTGAAATGCTTGGTTTCATAATAAAGTTTATTCTATATTACAAATAGTATTTTGTTCTTGACTGCAAAATAGGAATGCATTATATTTACATACACAGGTATACAATTAATTATAACAAAGTTAGAGAAGCTCGCCTTATATCCCCCAGGTTTCGTTTTCATCTCTCAATAAGATACTCTTTATCTTTCAAATATGATCTAGTAAAAGTCTTTTCTAGCATGTTTGTGTAACATCTGCTATAACACTGAGCTAGGAGGACATTTTTAGTTCCTACAAAACGTTTGAAGGTGGAAACTTTATCTGTGCTCTTGGCAACGCTAGGTGACTACTACCAGACGACCTTTGTTGCCCGGGAAGTGACAAGGTGAGGGGGGAGAAATGAAAGACAGGATGAGACACCGGGGGAGCAGACTTGCAATCACAGCTAAGGGCTCTCACCTTATTTAGTAACACACAGCTGGGAACAGAAACCTTGGATGTCCCTAAAATTAATCCTAAATTGAAATAATAGAAGTTCTGTATGCTGTATGAGATGTGATCAAAACGTTCTGTGAATTTGGCCATGAAGATGAACAAAAGAAGAAGATGAAATTCCAAAAGTCCAATTTGCACATTCAGAGTGTGTATATAGTAGAGCCCAAACTTGCATGGAACAAATGTTCCAGTAGGTTCTGTATCCTAAATATAAACTCAGGGTTCAGACTTTCCATGTCTGAAGTGTGGTGTGTGCACTCGAAACGCAGGGGTTCTGTGGCCACACAAAGTCTGTTCGCTCAACATTTGCCAGACTTGTCTTACTGTGACTTCCTCCAGATCTGCTAATTGAAACTCAACTTGAAAGGTTGGTTTTGAGATGCAGTGGAGGACATCCAGTGTACATTGCAGAGATAAACATGCACAAAGACATAATTCCCAAAACCTTTTGATCGCCTCTCAAAAAGCTGCAGAAAGTTGTTAACAGACAATGACCCCTTAAAAAAAATGGAGTCACTTGCTAAACTCGGTCTAAAACACAAGTCTAACAAAGCTAATGCGCCTCTACTGCTATGGATGATAAATTAGAGGTAGAGGCTACTTAATTTGTTCTTGGTGTTCATTTTTTTCGTTGTTCATTTTCATATCTTGTGCTGGCAAATTGAGGCAATCCTTGGTTGCTTTTTAGGACGTGAACCTGCATCTAATCACACCCGTCTGTTTTCATAACTGCACATATTCTGTTCTTTAAAAAAAAATGGGCAGGCTTCATCACAAGGGAACAAGGGATTTTTTGTTCTGGGAAGTTGAGCATTTATCACAATGAAATACTCTAACGCAGTTTTCAATAGGAAAAAATAAAACCAATAAAAAAAAGAACAAAAAATGTTCTGCCTGACCAGATTTAAACTGCAGAGGCGGCACAGCTGTCACACACAAAGAGTGCTGGTCTGTAATGGAGGACACAGTAAATGGGACAAGAAAATCCAAAATGGGGTACATGCTGTCTTTAAATGACATCCAGAAAATGAGCAGTTGTCTTGGAAATGACTTCAAAAGCCCCTAGCAGTTGTAGAAGTCTCTAAATATCTTTTTGCAAGGCAATTCAATTTCATACCATCCAAACAGGTCAACATGCAACGGTATACAGTAACTCCTTTATTTAGCATCTATCACGTCACAAAAATCATAGGGACGAGACTGTGTCATAGGGGGACTGGTCTGGATAAAGGTTCCACCTTAAACGAAAGTTATAGTTTTTATAACATGAACAATCCACTTTTTCCATCTTGATTCTTCCAAGCAAAAGAAAGATAAAAGAACACATCCACATCATCATTGCAAGGCTTAATTTTCTTATTTTTCACTTTTTTTTTAAATAAGTTTCTTAAATTGTTTACGTTTTACATGCGCTTAAAAAGCCAATAAAGGACCCAAGGTGGACCTAGGGCGGTCTTCACACATTCACATCACCACATGGGGCACGTTGTCAAGGCAAAAGAAAGGGCAGAGGTCAAAATGTACGGAGGGCGCCTCCATCTTTCCATCGCTCTCTCCCATAGTGGGGATTCACATCCAACAAGTCTTATCTATGTCCATCATTTTCTGTTTATCTTGCCGTGATGCTCACGTCTTGCTCTGCTTTATCAGATCTTTTTTTTTTTTTTTAAATTTCTTTCTTTCTTTTTTTCCTCTCTGTTTTTTTGAGGTTTGGAGAAGGCCGCCCCCTGCCGCCACTGAGGACAACTACACTAATACAGACAAGAGCGCCTCAAACAGTTACACACTCAAGAGTTGGGGTTTTTGCCGTATGCAACTGGCTACCATCTCCAATGCTTGTGCAAAACAGAAAAACTGGTAAGTCAGGAGCTGGACGAAAAAGGGGGTGAACGGTGTGCCGAGAGCCAGAGAGACCCGGGATGATGAAAAGAGAAAGGAGGATCGGATCACCTCGCCCACAGAGCCTCTCACCTCGACACACTGAGGTCAGAAAAATTACACATGTTGCCTAAAGTTCAAGTCACAATATTTTTTTTTTTGTCTTAGAAGTGGTTGTCTTATACATAGTCCTTTGTTTGTCAGTTCCTCAGTGGCACTTTATAAATACATTTTTGACCATTTTTGAAAATTTCAAGCTCCTTTGGTTTTTGGCTGACCAACTAAGTCCGTGTCATTTGATTTCTCCACACAAAAGTCTTAACATTGGGACATCCCGGGAAAGAAGTGCTACTCTCACAACAAAGCCTCTTTAGGTAGCACACGCTGTATTGAATCATTCTTGTTTTTCTTGATCAAGCAGTTTCTTACCCAGTGCATTTCAGTCAGCTCTTCCCTTTACCTCCTCCATTGTTGGCGTAGAAATCTGGGCAGTCAGGATGTTGGGTAGCTGCTGAGTGTGTGTGCGTTTTGTGTGCATGTGTGTGCTTTGATAGACCGTCGCAGCGGCGACACAAGGTTGGAAGTGGCGAGAGCCAGGCAAAGACTGCTACTGGTGTTTGGATTAGCAGTCAAAACACTGTCTTCCAGAGTTGGTTGTGTGCTTTTTCTTTTTTTACAAAGGATCCAACTTGGGCGGGGGCTCCAGGGTTTCATCTAACAGCTTAATTTTGCAGTAGCTATATAAGCCAAATGGAAGCAGAAATCATGAGCACTTTCTTAAATGTATGCTGGGCCAGGTAAAAATGTGTGCATGTCGCAAAGGGCTATAGGCTGGGGATGCTCTGGTTTGTAAAGTTCATCATGGTTCAGTAAAGGAAAAGTTCAGAGAAGCGATAATCCTTCCCTTCCCCCATCAGTCTTTTTCTTAAATACAACTCCAGCTACATTAAAGAACACAAGAACATTCTAGGCTTGCCTGGATTTGCCCCAGATTTCACGGATATGTATGCTTTGCTTGAAGGTACAGTGTAAACTTGGCAAACCATCCTTGCATGAATTTTCTTCAGAGGTGTTCATTTGGCTTGCAGTCATCAGTGTTGATGCTTCCTCTTGATTCTGTATATTTAATATAGAACTACAATAAACTGAACTCTAGAGATGGTTTTATTTTAACTATCCTATTCTGAAAAGTTCTCAACAAAATGGACACCCAACATTGTGGTTTTTAAAGAATTACCTATCGGTGTAAATTCTTGAAGGCAACATAAAAATGTTTTTCCCCTCTTTCCTTCCAACAGGGGGGATCGACACATTGCCAATATGGCCAGCTTTCAAGCAATCACCCCTTGAAGCTTCTCTGTGGGGAAGCTGAGGGATCCCCCACATTGCACTGTGGGAAACGCCAACCTCAGCTCCGGGCCACCCCTCGCATAACTTCAGGTAAACTAGTCTATGCAGCAGAGTGAATGGGAAGGAAAAAAAAACAACAAAAACAGGATTTCTCAGGGAACAGGAAGCAGAAAAAAAGTTAGAGGAAGAATTCATCTCTGAAAGGCGGAGGGAGGAAGTCACATGATGAAAAAAGATGGGGACAGGTCTTCGCTCAGGCACGGCTCGGTTTCTGACGGGGTCTCTTCCCAGTGCACCCTGGGAAGTGCGGTTCTCAGCTCTCCAGACTCATGAAGGCCACCACCTGCTCCAGCTTAAAGGCCAGCCTCTGTTTCCTGGCTGCATCGTCCTGCTCCAGTGCACACACAATCTGTCGGCGTGACCGTGAAAAAGACACACAACGCTATTACTAAAAGCACTCAACATAACAGGACTTTAAAAATCCAGCAAGTAACTAAACTAAAACAATAGATTACTATTTGTAGTATGCATCTGTAACCGGAAGGTCGCCGGTTCAATCCCCGGGCTCTCTGTCCTGGGCGTCGCGTCCTTGGGCAAGACACTTTACCCTACCGCCTACTGGTGTTGGCCAGAGGGGCCGATGGCGCGATATGGCAGCCTCGCTTCTGTCAGTCTGCCCCAGGGCAGCCGTGGCTACAACTGTAGCTGCCTCCACCAGTGTGTGAATGTGAGAGTGAATGAATAGTGGAATTGTAAAAAGCGCTATATAAATGCAATCCATTATTATTATTATTATTATTATTGTGTTACTATAGAAATTAATTATAGCTATTGATATACTGGCTTGGATTTAGGGAGTGCCTTTGATTGTCCCACTGTACCCAGCTGGCCTGCACTCACTGCTCTTGGCTTCAAGTTAGCTTTAGTTTGTCCCTTTTACTTCCCACATTTTAATACTCTATCTGTCCTTTCATTGACTTTTCATGACTTTTGGGGGTTAAATGCCTGGGCGTGGTACGATTTGCCTCTTATGAGTACCCCCTTAGTTAGCAACAGCACTGATGTGTTACCCAAAGGTGTAATAGGTCCCAGCATTACGTACCTCCTCAGTGTATTTCCCCACATAGGAGTAGATCTCGCTGAGAGAGCTCATGGTGTTGAACTCATTCATGTGCATCCGCGACTGCTCTGCCAGGTAGGCATTCATGTCTTGGTCACTGATCGCTGGCATCTTACTAATGTCTGAGTAGTATCTGTGAAGAGAGGGTAGGAGGAACAATACAAAGCATTAAGGTGTGTTTACAGCAGCAAAAAAAAAAGATGCTAAAAGGAAAAGTGCTAAATGATTTTGAAAGCAGAATATGCCCAGTTATGTATTTTTACACAGATGTTTACCTCGGAGCTCATCGTTTATGAATGCCTGCTTAATGCGTGGAGCATAGAGACGAAAAGCACGTTTCATAGTAAAGTGACCTAAATGGAATCTGTAGATGCAGAGAGGCCTCATGTTTTAAAATGGAACACTGCAGCAGCATACAGTATACTCACACACGCCGCACTGAGCTAAAGGCAATCAGTCACTGTCAGCAGCAGCTGTGTTGCCCATATCAACTGTGTTGATTAAAGCTGCTTATTTACATATTAAATTCCTGGAGCTACAGCCACTTGAGGACAGGCCCGTTGTATGGATGGATAATTCTGGGAGTGCGTGCGATGATATTTGCCAGGAAACAAGCTGTCAGAGCTAACAGAGCAAAGGAGAAGGCCGGTGGGTGTTACTCACAGAGGTCATAGCTGTATTGACACTGCACAGTACTGAAAGCTAGAGCTCTGACCTGGGCCCTGTTAGTGTCATGAACATGAGAATGGACTCAACAGGCTCATAACATTCACTAAAGCAAGCATAAGCAATAAAAGGGGAGAAAAATAAGAGGTGGTATGTATGGAAAGCAAAATTAAAGCCTTCATTGTATAAATCACAAGATAGCTGTAGGCCCAGCCACTACAGTCAGGTTACTTTTTACTAAGTAAGCTAGCTGTTCAGTAGTTTCTTTGTTGAAATGTGAAATAACCTGTCACAATATGAAACTGTGAGAGCCTCAAACTGAACTGATGTGTGACGATTATGCGGATTAAAGGCTGGTGCAGTATTTGCATTTTTGCTGTTGCGAAATATCTTTTGCTGCGATCACTTTCATTACTATTGTTGTCGTGTTAGGTGGAAAATGTGAGTATATCTCTAATGAGATCAACCACAAATAGAACCCTGCACAAGGCAGTCTGCAGCATTTCATTAATTGTTTTCATTTGGCGTTCTTCTTGACCACCAACTTTTTTTAATTTAATTCATTAAAATCTTTAAATAATTAGTTGGCCAATTATTTGCAGAAGTGAAATAAAAATACTGCTTTACCAATTTAACATCCAGTTTGTTGCAAGTGCCGATGTCTCTACAGTAACGTTTACTACTGAAGTTTAAAAGCCATTAAAGAAAAACCGCCACACGTATCCCATACTTTTAAAGGTATAGATTTATATGCAAGCAGTCTTGTATACAAATAATGTAATGACAGGTGTGATGGATTTGTCATTGTCTGGAGACCTTCAACTCCCACATCAAATTCAGAGCAGGTGGCAGTAGCTCACGGGTCTGCTTCACTTCACGGCGCCTTTTTAATAACATCAACATATTGTAGCAAGTAAAAAGCTTTGGGATATCGTGGCTCTGCCCAGCTGCATAGCATGGAAGTGCTGAATGCAGTTGTTGTCTTATGTAATTTATTAGTGGCTGAAGTGGCGTTTCAAGCAAAGTCTCAGCAGGGTAGTACTGAGCGAGACACACTGATTTCAAGGGATGGAGATATCCACTGGCCTGCTAACCAGCTAAAGCAGTGTCCTCTCTTTCTAACCAAGACAGAGGAGGAGGGAGACAGAGAACAGTAGGATATCTCGTCTGAACCTCTACAGTGATCAGTTTCTTTCTGACCTGAAAAATCCCCCCCCTGTAAATCCCATGCTGTGGCACTTTGGACAGTAAAGTGAAACGGCATAAGATCCACTTTTCGCCATTAGTGTGGCTCTTTAAAAAGATTAAGACAGTTTCACTTTGCAGTAATCACTGAAGCCATTCTGTGATACCAGGCATTCCCTGTTTATATGCAGTTATTAAAAAACAAAACATGCATCCAGCATTTTCCCCTCACAGTAGCAGCTGCTCTATTCTGTCCACGCATATCTTTTTTATGCATCACTTATAGGAGACCAGAGAGAGCCACACAATCCCGAGCCTGAATCCCCTCATTTGGTTCCACCCATTCAAGCACTGCACATATATTCTCATCCTGAGGCTTGCTTTGCAACAACGCTACAGCCACATAAATACTCGGAACCACTTCACAGTACCCCATCTTTTATTCAGGACCTCTTTGCCTCCCCTGCTGACAAATAAATTTAATAAAACTTCCATTTTAACAAATTACCGGCTTCTGCTGCCTGCAACTCTCAAAAATGCTTCTCTTGACTTTTTTTTTTTCTCTCCCCCCTACTCACGCACACTGACTCCTATGTCCTGTAGATCTTATGCCCTGGGCACTCCCATCTATTCCCACTGCATTGTAATTTGGATTGGGTTTCACAGCTCATAGATCACACTGCTACAGTCCCATTGTGTGTGCTGGAATGAAACACGCTTAATGCAGGTTTTCTGATGGTTCTTTCCCTCTTCATCTATCCAGTAATTGGTGTGTATGCACATGCGCTTTTCTTGACAGCTTACCTCTCCACCCAGCTCTTGTAGCTGGGGATGTCCTTGGCATAAAGCAGCTTGTTGGAGGGTGAGTCTTTCCCAAGGCGGTGCTCTGAGGTGGAGCAGGAGTCCATGAAAGTCTGGGCCACCACAGACAGACAGGCATCTGTGATGCTGCTCTTATGGATGTCAAACACAAACTGGGGGTTTTTAATCACATTCACCCAGAAACGCAGAGGTAGGCTGTCAGAGAGGGAAAAGAGAACAAAAAGTAGTTTAGTATCAAACTCATGCAGCTTTTGCACTTTAACTTTTCATTCCCTGATAAATAATTGTGTGTTGCTGTTTTCTTTAAATTCCTTTTAGTTTTCCCAATCTTGATATTTCCAATTCTGGACACAACAATATGAAATTCTTTAATATAAGCCCTTTTACCTGTTAAAAAAAATAAAGGTAGTCTCTTAATAAAATGTAAAACTGAGTCATGCTAACTAATGTAGTCTGTTAGGCTTCCTGTGGAAAAAAAAACGAGTTTTGCAGCGATTGTTCAGTTCTGTCTCGGTGACAGAATGCTTGAATAGCCATTCAAATGGGCGAACAAAGAGTGTGAAGTAAAACAACAGCCTATGTCCGGTTGAGCTGCTCTGAGATTAAGTCCCTAAATGCCGTTTTCAAATTTGCTACAGCCAGCTAGTCAATAGGCATGAACATATTATTCGCCAGAAGGGACTAGGATTCATTCACTTTGCAAAGCTAGTACACAGGCCCTGCTGTTGCTGATGTGCTCTATTTGATGTGTGTGCTCAATTCAATAAAGCCTTTATCTTTAAAACCAGGTGGTGGCTGGCTCTCTTTTTTTTTTTCCTCGCAGTGTCCAGGGGTCCTCGCTGGGGGCCGCGCAGTGACACAGTTCATATTGCCTTGTTTGTGCAAGTGGGTCCTATTTTGTGCCTGTCAGGAATAATAAAAATACACAAGTCTGTTTATTTGCAGGGCTTGTTTCTGCCAAAATGAATAGATATAGGGCCAGCTTTATCTGTGTATTGCTGTGAAAGGGGCTCAGGTGGTATTAAGAAAAAGCTGAGTGTTACTTGGATCTCTGTATCTTTACTTTTCTCTGGGCTCTGCGCTTTTAGCTGATGTGACAAAAATCAACAAAGACATTGCTGCAGTCTACGCTACACAGAAGTTTCTGCGTGTAGGAGAAAAAGAGTATAAAATGTAAAAAAAACAAAACAAAAATAAAACCTGAAACGCATTCATTTAAAGTACCACCAGTGTTCCTCGACAATTCGCTGAGCATTTATTCTAGTACAACCACCCACAAAGATATTCAGCTGTACAATGTAACAAAAGAGGATTTAAACTCAGAA